TCAATCAAAATGAATTGGCAGAGCCACCAGACTTCTTGAAGTTTAGCACATTTGCAAGTATTCAAGCCTTTGAGAACGTACATGATGCCAGTTATCATCATCTAGTTTCATATCTAGCACAACTTGGTGGCAAAAGTCTCAACTCAGCAGCAGGTCTAATGCTCCGGGCTTCACTTGAAGATCAAAATGGCTTCATGGAAACAGTAACGATTAAACGTAAGGAACACGGCAAGGTTTCACTGGTCAAAACTAGATTCGTCAAAGCTTGCACTGCAGCTCTGCGTCGTGGAGGCAGGTTTGGTCAAGTAACGGAGCAGCAAGCTAATACTGCCTTGACAGCTGGGCTTAAAACTTCGAAAACTCTTCGAAAGTACCATCTGAGGAGAGTATGAGAAGGGTCTGTAGCAGACTAGTAACACTTGAGATTGTGTAAGAAAAAATGATTGCCACCAGTTTATAAGAAGGCTACGTGTTTCCAATTCAATGTTAATATCAAAAGTATAAACATGAAGCACCGAAGAGGTTTTGACAGTGTGCTGTTGAAAGATGTCTCGAAATTTTGACCGATACTCAATCACTCAGCACTCCTACAGAGAACGCTATACTATGATCATCCTTATTGAAATTGAGATCAAATGGAAATTCTTTAAAGTTCATCTTGTTCATTCTACTGTCAGGCTACCAGTGAACTCGGTAAATTTGATAACTTCCTTTAATATATGTGAATCTGACAAATTCCTTTAGCTAATATGAGTAGAACTCTTGAAAAGTAACCTACAATATTCCTATTGTGATTCTGTTTCAGAAGACGAACGATAAAACATAGCTGCTCAAAAGAATAATGGAGGAATATTTCAAAAATAATATACATGTTGTGTTAATTTTTCTTTAAATTTGATAAGTGTCCGTCGCGTGAAGGCATGACAATATGGTACAAGCTAGAAATGCCTTACTACTTTTTTTTCTTTACATGTACTGTAATTCCATTTTGACAATGAAGAACTCTATTCGATATTCTCAATTCTTTTTATATTTATTTTGCCCTCCATCCCACATCATCTATGAAAATAATTGTATTACTAGTTTTATTCTCTTGCTCTCAAAGATAAACAAGCAATCAATATGCTCTAATGCGCTTAAGGGTTAACTTACGTACCAAAATAAAAACAACAATAATAAAATTGAGTCTTTTTTAAAAATCATAGAAATACTAGGGGTCTTCGCCCCCTGCTCGCTCCGCGTGTCAACCCCCCAATAGTTGATAGGGTGCAACCGATTGGGACTGATTTTTTTATTTGAGAGTGGTTTATTTTTATAAAAAAAATCTCCAGCCAAATGTCTCAATTTAATCAGTTCAAACGAAAAATATTGCAATTTAAATGAGTTATTTTCCACTTTATTCAATTTCGCAAAATTCAAAACACTTTTATACGAAAAAAGAAGGAGCCACTCCTTCATACTCTTACCGTTATTCTGACCCCTGTTGCTGATCCTTATTCTTGACCTCTTATTAATCGTATCTCATTTCTGAGTCTTATGTCTGACCCCCGTATTCGACCGTCAATTTTTACCTTCATTTCTGACTCTGACTTTCGACATTATTATCCTCATCCTGACCCTTGCTTTGACTCTCATCCGAATCCCATAGAAACCACACATGCATGACGACCTTATGACCTTCATATGACAACCTTATGACCCCCAATTGACCTCCATATGACATCCCTATGACCCCCACATGGACCCATATGCACTCCAGATGACCTCCATATGAAGCCCTCATGACTCCACAAAACTTTCAATCTAACTCTTATGCTTGCTTTGACCTATTCATGATCCTTATGACCCTTACTCTTTTCTTACCTTATGACCCCAATCCTGATCTTCGGTTTCAAATCTTGATTTTTTTTCCTTAATTTTCCATCGCCAGAAGCCAATTATTTCGATTGTTATAATATAGAGCGATATGGAATATTACTATTTATTATAGAATTTATATTGAGCTAGGATTCCAACTAAATACGGGCTTTCCAACATTATTTTTGGACCTTAAATTCATTAAATGGCTACCAATGTAATGGATATTCCTCGATAAAATTGTCGGATAATGAGGGACATTTTTTTCCCTTCGTTGGATCACAGAACATACATATTTCCAGTAAATAATTTCCCTTATTTTGCCGATCTTTAGCAGAAAATTATTTGCAAATTATGCAGACAAATATCATCACTAATTTTACCGCTCGTTATCAGTAAATCTTCGAAGAATTTTTACGACAAATCTTGTCTCATATGTTACTGCTATTCATATGTGAAAAATATCCAAAAATTAGAGGACAATTGTCGGAATACTTCACTGATAATTTCAACGTGATATCATCTCAATCAACCCTCATTTTGTCGACAAAATACCGGTAAATTATCGGTCATTGAGGGGATAAAGTGATAGAAGGTTTACCGGGCTATCGGATAAAATTGGTGCCTGGGAGGTAGTTATTTCTACTTTCCACTTTGAAGTTGTAGATTGAAGTGATTTCTCTAAGGAAGGATTTGAATATCTAAGGGTTTCTTAGCGGTCACGCGTGGGCGTTCACGCTCTAGTTTCAGAGGGTAGGATTGGTTGATTAGGGATGCTGGAGAGGATAGAGGCGAGCCGGTTGGTTTTTGGGTCAAGCGGGGAGCCTCGATAGTTATGATTGGATTTTTGGACATTAAGGGTGCAGCTGCGTTTTGACTCTTAAGAAAATTCTGTTCTCACGGAACGTTAGAATTGGAAAATGTCACTTGACACTTATGACTTTCAGATTTTTAGAGTTCGCCGTGTTCGGTTTACAATTTCAGGATGAAAATACTTATCTTACATATTTATTTCGACATTTATGATTTTTTGAAAAGTTTATGATGCATGTGTGCATCCATCTGTTTTTCGGTTTCGTTTATCACGTGGGAATGGTATTTTTAATATTTCTCAAGAAAAAATGTGGTCTGGACACTTGAGTGTTATTTCTTAAATGTAATTAATAATTTTCTTATTTTATTGGATTGGAAAAAATGATATTTGAATATTGGGCCTTATATACTAATTGCTGGTAAGACTCGACAGTCGATAAAGTAAAGTTAAAAATTTAGTAAAGCGCCATCAGGTGGCCAAGGTAGGGACGTAACACTCCACCCAGCGAAAAAAATTCCAAGATTCGTTATCTACTGCTGTACCTCCCCCTCTCAAGACTTCGAGACTCACTGAGGGCAATACAGTCAGCAATAAAATCAAATCTGGTAACGAGTGCCGCTCCTTAGACCTAGGCGCTTTTCAATTCGAGACAAAACTGCAACGATAGACATGCCCAAAGTTAAGATGCATGGAAGAGTCTAACGCAAAGAAAAAGCAGTGAGAAATACAGAGTTTTGTATTTGTTACTTATCGTATGATTCAACAAGAAATGGGAGAAAAAGATTTGGAACGATGCATACATGTGTTCACCATATGAGATCAACCTATTGTACGACTTCTCTTGACAAATTAATTTCAATATATGAAAATTTGTGTCCAAGCCAAGATCAAATTACTCCCATTTCGGGAAGCTAATTATTACCATTGAAATACACTATAAGGAACTGCCGATTGCACTTAATGAATGCAATATAGTCGATAATCAGTTTATCANCGTTAGCTCATGTGTAAAAAATGAACAGTCAAAATTGATTGTGAGGGTCACGAAGGGAAATAGTTAGTAGAAAATTGTCGCTCGCTCCTAGAAGAACTATGAACGTTCTATTCTATAGTGAATACAATATCGAAATAATTGCATCACTGGAATTTTTGCATGGAATTTCTCTATCATTGAATATAATAATAAATGCAGACGTTCCCAAAATTTGATATAACTTCTTGATTTTCTATCATTTTTCAAGCTACAGAAAACATGTATGTTATTTGCCATCGAATTTTTCGGTCTTTATTGTTCCATTCGATAAAGGAATTCCATGCTAGGACACAATTAGTGGGATGTATCATATCACCACCTGTTGATAATTTGTTTCACGTAAACCAGGCATCACAACTTCTCATAACTGTGGTCCTAGATGTTCAGTTGCATTCACGAAGAAAATTTAGATTGAAGGAAAAGAAACGTAAATCGTGCATGCAAACTACATCCCCTGGAGCAAACGAATTAGTGCTGTAGGTATGGAACCAGTTTTTTTTATATTGTTTTAATTCCAGTTCACTTTTATCATCAAATAGTATAAAAAAGTGAAAGCCTGTATGATGTTTTCGTATTTTTTCGTATTCTATCATTTGTAGATGTTTTTCGATCTTTTTTTTATTTTTCCGCGTCAAAAATGGGCAAAGAAATTCAGATTCAATTAGGGTCACGAGAAGACATTTTTTTGTTGGGAACTGTGCCTACTTCATGAGAGGACACGTGTTTCTTATTTGGAAGAATAATTGAGAACTATGAAGTGATGAGCGATTGAGAATGTCAACATATGATAGCGTTTTGCAAAAACACAGAAATACGTAGCATTGTGACATCATAATTTGATATAATTCCGAAATCGTATTATCTTTCAAGAAAAAAAATACGTAAGTGATTTTCCATCCACTTTCCGTATCTCATCGCTGTTTTGAATAAAGAAATTTTATGAAACATTTGAATCAACAGAATGTGTTCTTTCGCTCCTAATAATTTTCTTGCACGTAATTCAACTAAATCAAACTTTTCCTTCTCAAGAAACTTCCAATAATTACAGTACTACGTATTTGATAATGAATTCATCAAAGAACTAAAGAGAAAAGATGTAAATTATGCATATAAGCTGTATCGTCTGGGGGGAGAGGCTTTGCGTTGCAGGTTCAACAACAGTCTTTTATATTGTTCTATTTACAGTTTACTTTCATCACGAAATAAAGTTCAAACATGAGAGTTTGTATTAAAACAATCAAACTAAAAACCATTTACTCTTGGTTCACTATCTCTCGTCTTCCTGAATTTTTTCAATAAAATCTTTATTTCAGCAAATAACATTCGATAAGAATCATATTATAACTAATATACTTAAGATAAAGAACTAGCTTTGGCGACACAGAAAACTGAAATGTTGAGCGTAGTGAACGTTCCTGCTCACTGATTAATCAGATACAAGGCACATTCAGGTTGTATCACCGGATTTCCTTTCACAGGTTTTACTTTACTGAGTAGTCCATCATGGTACTCCCACGTTCCAGTACGACGGCAACAGTAGGCCACGAAATGATCATAATTCGCATCGTATGAGACGACTCCAGCTAGTCTGAAAATAATAATTGTTCCATTGAATCGTTAAATATATGAATTCTCAAGGTGAGAGAAGTCAAATGAATCAGTCAGAAACTGCATCATACCTGTATTCTCTGCTCAAGTTCAAAGATATAGGCAGATCGTAGAACTTGCAAGTACGACCAGGATCGGTTGCTCTCTCTCTGCAATCTAGCTCCAGATATACATGATAATTAGAAACATTTTCCTCATGCCTAACTGCTCCACAAGGACACTTCACATTCCAGAGTTTTGGATGATACTTTAGCGTATCCTGCAAGCGCTTGAATCCAAAGCGACTCAATGATGGATTGTCAGGACAGAATGTCGATAGTTTTCGCTGCTTTTCTTTTATATTGATAGCAAAACTGAAAATTCATCGAAACTGATACGAATAATTCATTTTGAAAGTACAATAACCATTTGTAGTAGAACTGTAGGGCCCATTCTCCTACTGTCCCTTCAGCTGTTCTTCGCTTTTTAAATCCTGCAGAGTTCCCCATCAGGTTCCGCTCGATTCGGGAATCCACGGTTTCATCAATCAAAGTCCCCAACAAAACAAGGACATTTATCTCTGGAGCAAGATGAACCTCAAGTAGGGCATGCTCATCGCTGTGCCGGTGAATCATTAACCCCTCGGGTTCCTTCAGACAGTTGTAGATCCAGTGAGACTGATATATAGCATTCTGATAGAGAACTGCCCATGTCAATTGAGTCTCCTTGAGGTTCAGTGTATAATCGTTACTACTTTTGCACAGGACTCAAGACCTTCTTATCACCAGTATTCTACTCTCAAACCTCTTCATAATCCCTTTCATTTTAATAAATCATCAATTGTATCTCTTCTTGTGCTGTTGATGGGAATTATACGGAGACCAAAGTATTCAGTCTATTGGAGGGTGTAATGCTTGAAGATTTCCTGGCATTGATCCAAAAAGAATGCGCATCTCTAATTATTACCTGTGCAGGAATGAAATAACTTATGATATGGACTAGTGATTGGTGTGAAACAGGGAATACTCGTGGAGACTAACAATTTTACTTTGGAAGTAGAGAGAATGTAGAAATAATTATCAATTGTTCTCCACAAAAAAAGTACTATCAAAATCAGAAAAAAATTGACAAGCATTTATTGAAAATGATGCTTGCAAGCTTACCTCACTCAGTTACACACAGCCTTCTCACAGGGATTGCAGTGATTGTCAATGCTTTCGATCGAAGATTATTGCAAGAATGTTCCTTTTAACAATCTTTCATCAAACATAACGTCTTTCGAGCTGTCAGAATCTTCGGGGCTAATGATTTCCCTTATGCCAATGTCCTGTATCACAATGCAGATATGTATTTCTATTTCCCGCACAGGTACAAATAGGATGATTAATCCTTCATCAACAATTATGTTGTTCAATTTAATGTTTTTTTTCATGAAAAAATGAACTAATATTGTAAACACACATACAAACAGACAGAATAAAACGCCAGATTCGATAATACAGGGTGCGTTTCGGAATCAACTACCGTAGCTGCAGTAAAGCAAAATTAGATAGGGTTGCAGTACTGCTACTGCTACTACGTCGATTGCGAAACGCGCCCACAGGAACCATCAATGCTTTGCTGAGGGTGGGGTTAGATCATAATTGTTCACAAAGAGGATTGACTAAAGTAGAGGCTCAGATCTCGGGGTTGGAGTGACCCCAAGCCAAAAATAGTTCGACCCCAACGGAGGGATGGCGCCACGGTCAAATGTGACGGCTGGGCGAACTGCCGGTGCGGGTAACTCGGCAGTAGCAGTCCCGCTGTCACAGCTCCTCGTCATCAATATGTTCTTAATGTTTTTAGGTGATTCATTTGCTGGCTAATTCATATTAAGGAATGAAATCCAGACAGTATGATGGAGAATTAAATTCCCCATCAATCGATCCCCGTTGCATTCCTTAATCTCTGTAACAAAAAAATACAAACTACGGCAAAGTCATGGGCCAGTGAGAAAAATAATTTTCTTCTCGGCGC